TAAGAACTTGAGGAGACTCTTATTATTGCTCCATAGTTAGTATAGCAGGCTTGCTGTAATCCTGATTAAGTGAAGAAGCTTCAAATCTGATTATACCTTTGGTAGTAATTAGATGGAGCAGTTGCCATCTGGAGATACAGACACTTTCATAAGAAGAACCGCTTCTTTCTACTGACATGAAACGTCGGAATTCGTTTTTGCCTACAAAAATACTGCATAAGATTTACTCATTTGATGGTTAGTCCTACTTGGTCTAGCCTTTTTCTAAACTAACTGGAATTTGTGATGGATTGGGTAACAGCTGGTAATACATTCTAAACCAACAGAATATGAAGATATAGAAATTTCTGCAATTATCTATATTATTTCTTCAAGTTCTCAAAAGAATAATTTCTGATGCCTTGGATGATCGTGAATAATTACCAGAAGAACTGATAATTTAGAGGAAAATAATTTAGAATCTTGAACAATACTATTCTAGATCAAGAAGTAGAAGGTCTATTCCTGGGAATAACTTACAAACAGAAGGAAATGCTACCAAATGGAATACTGCAGGCAAAGCTAACCAAGTAGTGCACAGTTTGGATGACTACAGTAAGATTTCCATGCCATATTCTCAAATGTATGAAAGATTCTGGATGTTTTCTTGAGGAATACTAATTTGAAGAAGAAACATGCAGTGGTTGTGCAGCTCAATAAACCACAAACTGGAATGTCTTCATTTTCTTTTGAAATAGAAGAGTATCTGTGGATGAACAAGATGAAAAGTTTGACTGTGTGACATCCTTCTCCTTTCATATTGTCTATGACCGAGTAAGTACTAATTCCCCTTGGACAGTATGGTTAAATCATGGTTAATTCTAATATGGAAAAACTAGACTTAGAATAACATCATAGCAAGTTCAGAAGCTTCATTAATATTATTGTAAGTTAATTTAACAAAAATGTTGATTTTAAATTAATTCTACTAGGTATAATTGAAAATGCCATAGAAGTGGCATTTTCACCTTCTTAACTATTCCTTTTTTCCTGTTGAGAAAAAGAATGGGAAATACAAGTAGATTATAAAATGGAGGTGATGTCATATAGACTAGTGCTCCTCATCCTATGTGAAGCGGGAAACCAGCACTTTGATTTTTATATGAAACAGCTATATTGTCATGATGGGTAGCACTAATTTACACCTACCATGTTTTTTAAAAAAATTGAATCTTGACATAACATTATAAAAGCATAATCTAGAAGGACCCTCAGAGTCATTTGCACACTTGCTAAGGTAAGCCCCATTAAGTGTGCTGTATTTCTAAATTAACATGTATAGAATTTTCCTGTTAATTATAATTCCAGTGTTAATGAATCAGGTATGCATCACTGAAGATAGAAAACAAGCAATAGAAGTCTTCTGTGTGTGCTATGATTGTTCATAAGACATGTAGAAGTCACTTCGGTGAACTGTGTGGATTTTCCTGTTGTTCTTAGAAATCATCACTGGAAGAATTATATTGAAAGAAAGTTTTCTTTCTTTCATAATGCTACAAACCTCAACTGTTATAGCTTCAGGACAGACAAACAGCAAGTCTCCTTTACACAAATTATTGACAGAATCAAGCTATGGAATTTGCTCTCTCAAGATGTGATGACGGCTACCAACATAAATGGCTTCAAGAGAAGATTTGGCTAATACATTGGGAATAAGGCTGTCAATGACCACTAGTAATCAGTGGCAACTGGGGGCTGCCAAGTCTGTGTGGCTGTTTCTGTGTTTCTTCCTAAATGATACCGCAGCTATCCAGGGTGCTGAACATTGTCCTCAAAATTATTCCTTAAACAATCAGATTAAAACTCAAGAATATTATTTTTCAACCTGCCTTTGAAAAGTGCTCAGAAACTTCAAAGACCAACAGCCAGACTGCTAACCAGGGCTGGCTATAGGGAGCAGACAACTCCACTGTTGCAATAGCTCCACTGACTGCCAACACTCTTCTGGGCACAATTCAAAGTGCTGGTTTTGACCTACAAAGCTCTATACAGTTCTGGTCCAGGTTATCTGAATGACCATATTTCCTTCTATGAACCTGTTGATGGCCTTCTCTCTATCAAGTACATTTGGTGAGAACACAGGAGAGGGCTTTGTTTTGCTGGCTGCTCCTAGACTGTGGAACTCTCTTCCAAGAGAAACCAAACCAAGATGGCTCCATATCTGCTTGCTTTTCACAAGCAGATAAAGATCTTTCTCTGACAGCAAGCATTTGGAGAAGGATAAGGAGCACACTGCTGAGGCGGTTGTGGGTGGGATTTGAGGGGGGTGTGTGCTTTAAAATGCATTTAAAATGTATTTCTTATATTTTAATTGTATTTTAACCTAACCCACACAGTATTATTTAGTTGTTTTTATTTTTATATTTGCTTTGTTTTAATTTGGGACAAAAGTGTGTGGTTGTTAGTCATCTTCAGTCCCCACAGAAAGAAAGGTGGGATATAAATAAAGTAAGCTAATCATAAACATTTATTTGAATCTCAAGTACTGACAGATAATACTGGGAAAGGTCTCTTGTGTTTATGTATTCCCTATGGACTTCTGATAAGCATCTTCTCTCTTGTGGAAATTAAAATGCTTGATGTAGTGGGCCTCGGTCAGCAGGGTACTCTTTATATTCTTACATTTATTTATGTAGAAAAATAATAGTTAAGTGTTCTACAAGCCTTATCATGATGGGAGTAGGTCTTGTCAATTGCTGTTTTCTTTTGCTTGCTTCTCTTTTTTAATAGGAGCATTCTAATACTGCCATTTCTCTTCATACGTTCAAGTTGTATGGTATGACTTTAAAAAACATCATTGAGGAGAAAATAAAACTGGCAGATTTTCCAATTCAGGCAAAAAATGATTGTTTAGTTCTTAGAGGTACCACTTTGAATTTTTGTGGTCTTAACTATGTTTGTGGTGCTGAATTAGGCCCTTTCCATGATGATAGGCTTCACATCCTTAACTTCTTCTTCAGCTTCTTCTTCAACAACTTCTTCTTCTTCTTCTTCTTCTTCTTCTTCTTCTTCTTCTTCTTCTTCTTCTTCTTCTTCTTCTATTACTTACCTGCTTCTCCTTGTGGCTCGAGGAGGGTTACAAAACAATTTATAAACACGAACATAGCAAAAAATCAACAAATATATGCATTTCTAGAAAAGATTCACATTAAAACTGCATTTCTATAAAATAAATGTTAAATACACAAAACAGAATCAAACAAATGAGTTTAAGATTCATAGTTAAAAACTGTCTGGGTAGACCTGCCAGAAAAGATGCGTCTTTAGATGGTTTTTAAATTCCAACAGCTTATTTAGGTGTTGGAGCTCTACCAGCAGGTCATTCCAGAGTCTTGGGGCAGCCAATGAGAAGGTCCTCTGGGTGGTGGTCAGTCAGCTGTCAGGTTTTGGGAGTCTGCAGCAGATGCCCCCCCAGAGGACCTAAGTGATCTGGGTAGATTGTACAGGAGAAGGTGATCATGAAGGTAACCTAACATAACATTTCTTCAATCCAGAACCTCACTGTACTTTTGTGTTCCACATTTTGTATAACAATTATGTTATTTATAAAGTGAACCCAAATAAGGTGCACTACATTTGAGATCTATTGAAGTCAAGAAAAGAGTTACATATAGAACAAACAGATGTGTCTTTTAGATTATGAGTTCTACTTTTAGCTTCCCACACACCTCTGAGCTCAGTTTCTGGTGGACTGCTGATGAATTCCCAGCACTGTTTGGAAAAAAGCCCTAGATTTTATGTATTGTGTATATGTTCTATTTTATTGATGTACATCACTTTGATATTTTGAGATAAAAGCAATATATTGAGAGCTAGCATGGTGCTAGGTTTGAGTGCTGAACTAGGAATTTGGGAGACCCTGCTTGACCATGTTTCTACTGAATTTGTTGAAGAATAATTATGTAGTAAGAACTAGCATGGTGTAGTGATTTAATTGCTGAATTGGGACTCCATACCCACTGCATCACCTTGGAAAAATCACAGTCTGTTAATTTAGAGGAAAGCAATGACAAACCTCTCAGTAAACATTGCAAGTTGACTGAATACACACAGAGGGTCTTCTCTAGCATGGGAGGCCCAATTTTGATGCCAAATGAAAATGTGTTTGCTTACACGGGTCATAACTGTTTTTATACAGGTCCACGTGTTTATGGATTTGAGTTCTTAACAAGTTTTAATATGTTCTTTTTTAACTTGTCAAACTGTTTAATACGTTTTATCCTTTGAAAATCATTTATTGTTTACATTGGCCATGTTGCTTTCATTGTGTCATTCTGAGTTCTTCAGATAAAGAGCAGGGTATCAATATTTTAATGAATCAACAAACAGATAGATAATTAAAGAACTACAGTTCTGTGGTATAATAGGGTGACATGGAGGTCTCATAAATCAAAGCTGCCTTGGCAATAGTTAGCAACAAAAATGAATCTATAATCAAGCAGGAAGTAGTCATACACAAACCTGTTTGCAACTAAAGTGAATTTTGTAAGAACATGACTGAATCTCCTTCTGGATTTTGCTTCATTTTTGCTTTGTTAATCCTTGACTTCCAGTTTGTATCACCCCAGACATAAAGTCATTCCTCTATATGAAAATCTCTGCAGTATAAAACTAGGAAATGTCACTATTATATTCATTAATGAAACAAAAACATCTAATTACTATTCTGGTGTGACTAAGTACCTTTTGCTATGTAAAATGTTCTGTTGTACCAAAATGATAAGATATATGAAAATACATTGGAGAATTCTGCACATATTTGCAAGCAAAGCTTTGTTGGCTTAATCCTACCAGTCTTTGTGGAATTTAGAGATAACAGCATGAACCTATTTAAGCCACTGATTTTTGGCAAGATTTACTGCTGTTGCTTTTCTTAAAATCTCCTTTGTGACTTCACAGAAATGAGGACTGTGTCATTGTTATCATGAGAGTGAACATTTACTTCTGCCTCCTTATTCTAGATTGCCGTCAAAATGAGTGAAACACCATCAACCAACTATTCGGTGGTTCAGCACCACACTTCAGGGAGTGAACAGTCTTTCTCTGCACGTCCTCTCAATGTCACAGAACCTGTTGTGGCCAAGCGGGTGTGCTTTTACAAGAGTGGAGACCCTCAATTTAATGGAGTCAAAATGGTTGTCAATAATCGTTCTTTCAAATCATTTGATGCCTTGCTGGACAACTTGTCAAAAAGAGTACCACTGCCTTTTGGTGTGAGGAACATCACTACACCACGAGGGATACACAGCATCAGTAATCTGGAAGAGCTTGAAGATGGAAAGTCATACATCTGTTCCCAACAGAGGAAAATCAAACCCATTAACTTGGAAATGGCCAGTAAAAAACCATTGCCCTGGCAAAACAGCAGGCCAATCAGTGCCCGCCGAAGGGCTGTGCAGTTAGCTAGAGAAGGGGACCGTAGTATGTTCCAGAGAGGTAGCACAGTCAAATTGAGTACTCCTAAGAAGCTGCTGGTTTTCAAAAATGGCAATGTAAGAATTCGGCGTGCAGTTGTCTTAGGGAAGAAAAACACAGAAAACTTTGAGGCCTTTCTGGAACACATCAGTGAACTTATGCAGTATCCGGTCATGAAATTATATACTACTGATGGAAGAAAGGTAAGACTATAGGAAAATATCAGAAATATGTATCAATTTTGGTAGAGATGGTGGTAATGGTAAGAGTTTTTTAATAGCTGCTGGTTTACACTCAAATGCTGGTATGAGTGAGACATCACAAATTTAGTTGCTTGTCAAACAGAACACGTTGGACCGAGTTACTTTCACAGTGTTTCTTATATTTGCTAGATTCAAAAGAGAAGAGTTCAATGTTTACTTATGTTTCTGGTTAGTTAAGAGAACAACAAACCTGACATCTCAGTCTGAAAGACACAACATGCAAATCTCAGTGAGAAACTCCTACCTTATTAATTTTCTTCTACCAGAAGGAGGCACTAGGTGGAACTGAGTGAACACTGCATGGAAGGATACTTGCTCATGTCCAATAAACGAGAATACTTACTGTTAATTGTGAATCAACTTGCTGTGATACATGAAGTGTATAATTATCATTGGATGGTAAGGCAGTGGTTCTCAACCTGTGGGTCTAAGATGTGTTGACCTTCAACTCCCAGAAATCCTAACAGCTGGTAAACTGGCTGGGATTTCTGGGAGTTGTAGGCCAAAACACCTGGGGATCCATAGGTTGAGAACCACAGAGGTAAGGGATAATTAATGAGTTCCCTAACCTTAACTTTTAACTTCCTGAAAATTTCAGTCAAACTATTACCTTGCTAGAGATATTCACATATGTTCTTCACTTCAAGAAGAAAGGGAATACATCAAGATTTCCTTCCCACTGAGAAAAGAAGTCAACGTCCATTATTTTTCCACACTCTGGTACTTGTTTTGGAGGGAAAATTTTAATGCATAAAACTCATAGTTGCATTGCACAAAAGCAACATTTTGTTTCTCCAAATGCCTTGGGTTTTCTGATTGTTTGTTTGTGTTTTCTTTCTTTCTTTCTTTCTTTTTTTTTTTTTGCCAAAAAGGCTTTTCCCCTTTTGGTAAACATTTTCCACTTCAAATAATTGAAATATATACATGCACTGGGAAGGGAATATTTGAAATCACTGTATTTGATCTTGTATGCATGCAAGATTTACATAAATGAAGAGTTGCATTCTTATTCCATCATATCACAATATTTAAGGGAAATATCTTAAAAGGGATGTTATTCTGAGGTCTTTTATACTGTTTTCTGTAATATAGATATTACAACTGGGAAACGCTTGCATGTAAATCTATATTTAATTTGTACCACAATTTCTGTTGCACAGCTTCTACTGCACCAGCCATTTTCACAAAACACATGCCACACAGGCCTGTAGCTGGGGTGGTGGTGGTTAGGGGTTAAAACTCCCCCCCCCCGCAATTTTTCAGGTTAAAAAAAACCAACTGGTTTACTCATGAATTTTAACTGGTTAACCAAATCCCCATGCTAAGTCTATGAGACGCAAAAAAGTTCCTCCAGAACTGCAAGCACTATCTCAAGCAAATATTGACAATATATTCACACTGTCATTACTTGCAGCAATAGCCGATGTAGTGAAGCAACCAAGTTGGGGGGGGGGGGGGGTGTTGAATGCTCTCATGAAGGAGGCCAGACTTGGTGGAGGTGGTTGACAGGGGCGGAGCTGCAGGCTATTGAAGGCTGCTCTGTCCCCTGCTGTGCTCTTTGCTTCAGCGTGAGCTAGGAGGCAGGTTTCAACCCCCCCGTGAAATTTTCACCCCCCCCCCCCAATTTTCAACCCCTCCCAAAAAAAATTTCTGGCTACGGCCCTGATGCCACATAATATAGATTTCTTTGATATTCACCATTTGAACAGAATGATCAAGAATAGTGGTCTGGCATTTTGGTATTTTGCATTTCAGAGGGCAAGTTTATGTTGCCTTGGTGCTTATCAGAGTCTGAGAGGAGGTCCTGGTGTTAAGGAAATTCATGAAAACCTTGGAGATACAGAGGTGGAAATGAGGGGAATTTAAATCCTTCTATTTGTGACGAACTAGCTTGCTCTTAAACCACATCTTCCTGTTCTACTTCCAAGGTGTACTCATGATTACTAAGGAGCTTAATCCATGGTAGCCACAGGGGTGGCCTCAATCTTGTGACACGTGCCAGCCATGTCGTAATCCCTTCAAGCCATATACTATGTTTAGTTTGTACATGAAGTGTGACTCTCTAATTTTCTGTCAAGTTTTGGGGGTTGCAGCCAGGTAACACTGTTACTGTTCTTTTTTTGGCCCAGAAACCAAACCCCAACATTTGAACTATTGGTATTTGCTGAGGTCATTTCACAAGGCCCTATTTCAGAAGTTACATGCAATGACATTTAAAATAAAGCCCTAACAAGTTTAACAAAACAAACACAGGAGCAGGTAGTTACTGCTCCTATTATTGCAGATGGGTACAGAAATAGGGATGTTAGAGAAAAAGGGCTAATTCATTAACTGATAATAAACTCAAAAAATCTAATTCATGTGCATTTATATTAAAGTGAGCTTCTTTTACCTACTATTCATTCTTGGTTGTCATTTAAATTTGTGCTATATTACTACTTTTAAATGTTTTCTAGAATAAAGGTAAGAATCCCACCCATTATTTAACTCATTTGTATGCTTTTCCTATTTTCATCTTTGAAAAGGAGACAACTGCGTTTTTTTTTTAAAAAATGATTTTCATCCATCTCATCAAAATCTGTTCTCATGTTTTTGCATTCTCTCTGCATTAGAAAATCATCTTCTCACTTTTTGTTTTGCTTGCTGTTTCCCATGTGGATCTCAGCAAAAGTCTCAAATTAAGAAATTAAGTTTCTTGGGATAAAGTAGGAACCTTTATAAGGGATCCAGTGTAGAAGACAACAGGATTACCTGGATGCAATGAACAATCTCCTCCCCACTCCCATTCCAAGTTGCCAAGCTATAAATTCACAATGCAGGAGGGATATATATATATTTATTTATTTATTTATTTACTTCTTTTGTATACCGCAAATATCAGCCTGCAAAGGCGACTCGAAAATAGTTTTGAAAAACATTCAAGAAACTGAGGGTTGGGCTAGAAGCAATGATGACTACATGGATACGTCTTACTTTGCACGTATCATGAGATTACATGACTCATTGGAAAGGACAATAATGCTTGGTGAAGTGGAAGGCAGTAGGAAACAAGGGATACCACACTACAGATGGATTGATTCAATGAGTAGGACATTTGACCAGGACTTTTGAAGGCCTCTCATTTATAGGGTCACCATAAGTTGAAGGTTACTTGATGGCAAATGACAACAACAAACAACAAAGTGGGTAAGACAAAATTTGGTGGATCTTTAGTACTCTAGATACCTTGATTAGTAATTTAATTAGTAACTAAATTCTGTACAATTTTTGTAGTGAAATAATAGCTTAATTATTGAGTTTCATTAAAAATAAAATGTATTTGCCTCTTTTGTGGCAAACTTCCATTTATATGTTGAATTAATTTAAACATATAAAACTTAAAACTTTCAAATTTATTTTTAATGAATTTTAATTCATTAATTCCTTTTATTGGATGCATATAAAGTAGTGTATTCTAAGTCACCACAACAATCACCCTGAGCATCAGAAGCTGGTCTAAACGATGCAATAACTCTTTGTCTCTGTAATGCTTTCATTGAAACTGAATTGCCCTGGCACACTTAAAAATAATGAATAGGATAGTGATGTAGTTGGGCCCACAAATACAAGCTCATCCAGCTTTACTTTACAAGGCCATTAATTTGGTTGTAAAACCTGGAAGAGAAATTCTGAATCTTTTGCATGTTATTCTCAAACAGAAATTGACACTCTGTACTGTCATGTCCATGAAAAGAAACACAGTAATTAGGATTTAAGACTGTAAAACTTCAAAAAACAACAAACAAAAAAACAAACAAACATACCTTTATATAGTTACATTTATCTATGCCATCTCAGTGTCAAACTCAGGGGCTGAGTTGTTGGAGTTGGGAAATTGAGAAGATGGAAGTATTATCATGATCAGAAGAACTTCAAGGTCTGAAGAAGGAAACACAACAACTCAATGAGCTTGGCATTCTCAGATACCAACAAATTGCAATTGCTTATGAATGGGGAATATGGGGTAGCCTGATAGAGGAGGTACATGTATTATGCAGTAATGCACACCCGCACACACACACTGTTGCCACACGATGTGTTGTGTGGAGGCTAGATTGTCAAATGAGAGCTATTGAGAAACAAGAAATGGGCTTTATATGCTCAGAGGAATTGCAAGCTTTGAAGAAATAAGGAAAACGTTATGCAAACATATTATCTACCAAGGTGCCCCACAAATGCACAGAATCTTACCTAAAATTATCACATATCTTCAATGGTAATAGAATGCTAAATAAATGGTGGTGGTTATTGGGAGGAATGGAATCTGGTGTCCAGAAGGAAGGAAAAATTGTTGGTTGGATGCTGTTTGGCTGGAATAAGGAACAGGAATACTCCACATGTCATTATTTTGTGACAAGTCCCATTCATAGTTTCTGAAGCAGTCAAATGTGATTGGAATCACTGTTTTTACTCCAAAGAGCTCTGATTTCTTTTTCATAGCAGCAAAACTTGTCTGTTGTTTTTCTTCTAGGTTCCCAACCTTCAAGCTTTGGTCCTATGTTCTGGAGCAGTTGTGGCAGCAGGGAAAGAACCTTTCAAAGCAGGAAATTATGATCCTCACAGGTATTCATTACCTGGAAAACTGCCTGGGGTCACAAATCGTGTATATCCAAGATCCAATGCCAAGTCAGAGAGCAGAAAAAGTAAGTTTCCTTTTCAACTTTCCTAAATAATATTGGTTTCAGATGTAGATAATTATTTTCAGGGGAAAGGTCTATATGGTAGTTTTTCGATTTATCACAACAGTTATCTAAGTAAATTAACAACATAAACATAAATACCATGATAAATGAGGGACTTTGGTTATGCTGCATTTCAATTGTGCTAAAGTAGACACAGGATGAACTCTTTAAAGTTTGCGAGTCAACACAACAAAATCACGAACTGAATAAAAAGATGGCATATAATGGTCACAGAGAATTACCACCATGCATGACCCATCTCCTGATTAGTTTATCTACCCTTTTCATATTCAATACCTTAACTGAGTTCAGTAAACACAGAGACATTCATTAATCTAAAATAAATATCAGTCTATAAAAATATAAAAGAGTAATACCCAATAGCTCCACTGGCTGCTGGTTTGCTACTGAGCACAATTCAAAGTGCTGGCTTTAGTCTATAAATCCCTAAATGGTTTCGGTCCAGGTTACCTATCTAAACGCATCTCACTTTATGAACCAGTTAGTACATTAAGGTTGGCTGAGGAGGTCCTGCTCTTGGACCCACTGCTCTCGCAGGCGCGAATGGTGGGGACAAGAGACAGGGACTTCTTGGTGGTGACCCCTCGGCTGTGGAACTCCCTCCCCAGTGAGATTAGATCACCCCCTCCCTCCTGGTGTTTAGGAAACAATTTAAAACATGCCTTTTCAAGCAATAATTCGGGTCGCGTGATCAAGAAGTCAAGATAACTTCAGGAATGGTGCAATGTCTAATGTTCTATGTTTTATGTTTGTCTATATCAGATGTTTTTTGTTTTATAGTGTACTGGTATGTTTTGTAGTGTACTGGTTTTAATCTATTGTTATATGCTCTTTTAGCTATGTGATGTATTTATATTTTGTGAGGCATTCAATTTTGCCATTTACTTTGCTATGAACCACTTTGAGTCCCTCCAGGAGTGAGAAAAGCAATAAATCAATCAATAAATAAATAAAATTGATGAGGATAGATTAACATTCTCCACCCCACTTGAGTTTAACTGAGTAGACTGAGGGCATAGAGCAAACTAAATGTCACATATCTGTAATCATTTTGCAACCCTTAAGTATGTATATGTCTTTCTCTGCTAAATAAAAAGGCCAGCCTCTACTTTTAAGTATAACCCATAATATCTGCGAGAAACCTTTGTGAAAACCACTGACTTGGATGTTAGTTGGAAAGTAAATCCACTTAAAGTTTTTAATCTGACTTTTAAGAAGCAAATCAGTGACTCTATCCCATATAAAAGCCCCTTTCCAAATTCAGACTGAACCTGGATTCAGCACATTCAACAGATCTGCTGTAACTGACATAATGCAAAAGAGATAGCATGATGATACCTTTATAAGGCCAACCAAGAGATACAAAATACATATTAAGACTAGTTTTTCATGTTTACTGATTCGGCATCAGGTCAAGATATTTAAAATAATACAGGAGAAGAAAAGTGACAATGACAGAGTCAAAGGCATAATTCTTGCTTGATATGTTTGCTTAATATGGTACTTTAGGTGGTCCTAAGAATGGTTTGCTGGGGACAGAGGCCTCACTCTTTTTTGACCACATAGGGACTGAGGCAAAGGCAATATTAGTCCAATAATATAAAGATGTGTTTGTATTGGCAGAAACAAGGTAAGCTCCCTTTGAGATCTAGGCTATAGAACTCTAATGCATATAGTTACATAAAGAAGCAGACCATCAGGGGCTTAGTGATTGCACCACAACGGCTTATCCTCTATGCACAAGCCTAAAGAATGTAACAACACAAACAAAAATTTACCGGTAGGTATTCTATCTGGAGTAGGTAACCAACTTGGATTAAAAGAAAGACCTAGAATTCTCAACACATTTATTAATTCAAATGTGCGTAAAGAAAATTAATATCCACATATGAACTCATTCAAGATTCCATTGCATATCTGATTTTAATTTCACTTTGAGTTTAACTAATCTTGAGTAAATTATGCAAAGTAAATTTAAATAAATGTGTATAGCTTGAAAAAGACAGGTATTATAAGGAACTGTGAGCATTGTCCCAGTGTGTCAGCAACTCCCATTTAAAAGTAGATAGTATTGCCAACCCCCCCCCCCAAAAAAAAACCCAAACAAAAACAAGAAAGAGTCTAGTGACATATTAAAATGAATGCATTTTATTTGGCATATACTTTTATGAACTGTAGCCCATTTCATTATCTGCATTTGCTGGAGAGGTCTATAGTCCTTGGAAAATTATACCAAATACAATTTGTTAGGACTAATATGTTATTAGACTACATTTTGGTTTCTTGCTGTGGCAGGTTAACATACAACCTGAGCAATATATATTTTTAAATTTTTTGCTAAAGCAGTAAAAAGAATTTTCAATAAAGTAATACTGTGATCTCTCATAAACAATATTTTATATTATTGCTCCCTGTATATAATGTCTTTGTACTAACAATCCTTTTTGTGTGTTTTCCTCCCTCTTATCTCTTTGCCATGCCTGTCTGCTGCCTCTCTCCCTGGATCACTTTTCTGATGACTGTCTTCTGTGTTTTTCTTCTAATCTTATCATTTGGAATGTTTTCAACAAATTGCTTGAAAGTGAGTGCACAGATAGATTCAAGCTCCAGATCACAGATGTTTTCTGCTTCTTCTTCTAAAGGCTATAGTAATGATAACAATTCTGTATCATCTTATGTTCCTGATAATGACATGGCTTTAGTGGGAAATAGCTCACAGACTGGTGAGGAATTCTGCTTGGTGCCACCTGCAGATGACATAGAAAAGTCTGTTCATCTTAATCAAGATGGTAGTATGACAGTTGAGATGAAAGTTCGGTTCAACATAAAAGAAGAAGAAACCATAAAATGGACAACTTGTGTCAGCCGTGCTGGCACCACTGCTATGACAACAGAAGATCAGTTATCAGAATTAAATATTTTGACATATAAAAACACCGATGAGGACTCCAGCCATGCTGAAGATGATGTGTCATTGCAGCAGATCAGCACAGAAATGACCAATCAAAATTCAGAAGGCATAATGGAAAGTAGCACATATGATATCTGGCAGAATCCTTCTATGAATTCAGATTTGAATCAGACAGACAATAATAATTCAAAGCCTCATTTTTATAGACCTCCTACTCCTGGGCCGAGAAGAGTCCGGCAAAAGAAGGCACTAGTTGAAAGTGTCACTGTGGTATCAGATAAAGCAGTCCAAAAAAAGCTGGTAGGACAATTTTCTTATAGTGAAGAAATGGACAGTGGTGAAACCAAATCTGAATATTGCATGGTTACTCATGCTAGTAGTCAAACATCAAGTGTTACTAATTCCAATCCTTTTCCCAATCAAAATGATGCAACAGGAAGCAATCCAGGTTTCTTCAACACTCATTCAGAATGGTCTCACTCAAAAAATGAAGATATAATATGCAATCAGTGTAAAGAATTGCTTGCTTCTCAAGCTTCACAACATTTATCACCTCCTGAAACTAATGAAACAGTTTGCAAATGTGCTCAGACCTCTTCTGCAGTGATGCAACCTTCTCATATCAATGGCACGAATGACAGTGCTGAAGGTATGACAGCTACACAATTCTCTGATGGAAGCCAAGCTCTGTCTACCTCTAGCAAGACTAAGAAGAACAAAAAGAAGAAGAAGAAATCTTCTGCACATATCATGAAACAAGCTATAGATTCTCATGAAAACTTGGATGATGTGTCAATGGAAGGAAGTGTTGTGAATGATATGCAGACAACTGAGATGCACACCTCAAGGGAGAGTGCACAACGTTCTTCTACAAAAGTCACCACTAAAAAAATAGTACTTGCATTTCCTGTTGGCAATTCGCACAATTCTAATAAAAATGTAATCACCGAAGATGGTTTGTATAGTGAGGATCCACTGCATTCACTACCAAATGAATTACTCTCTAAAATAAAGAAAAATCAAAATAGACAGTTGCCTAAGCTAAAAACAAAATCAGACAAAAAACATAGTTTGTCACAATCTATAAAAGCAGAAGGGCTGCTGTTAGTTAAAAATAGCTCAAAGAATGACACTGAATATGCTCAAGAAGTTATACATGATTCGATTGATGTAACAGATCAAACCTCAAGTAATCTAGCTTCTTTGAAGCCAAAAATTGATCAAGAAAGTGACCTAAATGTTGAAACCGAACATGCAAAGACTACTTCCAATCAGACACACAAATTATCAATGAAACATAAAAAAGCAAAAAAGAACAAAAAAATTGAAAGTGCTCAAGCTAGTGAAGTTGAAGGTGACAGATCATTGGCTGCTTTGAGACATAGAGATTTTACTGATGAGATTACAGAGCATTCTCTTGAAAACTATGTACAAAGCTGGTTGCAAAACATATTTCCTGATGCTGCAAGGCCTGACCAATGTTTAGCTCCCATAAGTTCTAATGACAGAAAAAAGCAACAGAAATCTATCAAATCCTTTCCTGATAAAATAAGTGAATTAGCAGGAAAGAATAGTATTATTGAAGGTAAAGAATCCAACCATCTCAGTGAAATAGAGACTGTTGAAGAATCAGTTCAAGACTTGAAAAACATATATGAAAAACACATTGGTTGTTTGACAGATGCTGATGCAAGCTTAATAGAAGAAGCCAAGTATTTATTACAGTCAAATATCAAAAATAATACAAAACTATCCTTGGGTAATATTATACATGAAAATGAGAAAAAGAAGGTTCCAACAGAAGATGATGGTCAAAGGCACATGTCTGCGATTGCTGCCCACGTTCATACCCAAACCAACAATAACATTCTAGGAACTGATGTGGAGGAGGATTGTATGAGAAGTGCATTGCTGCATGAATTGAAGTCAACCATTCTCAATGCTGAGAAAAACAATACTGGGTGCATTAAAAAATCATGCTGTCTTACAGATAATTCTCTTCCTTCACTTCTGGGATCTCCTTCCAATC